TTTGATTACACTCAAATTTCGCATCCTGATTTTCCCTTCTTTTTTAAATTTCATTCCGAGGGCGTCTCCTTTCTCCCCCTTCCCTCCCATCCGCTCCTCCCATGTCTACATTGGGACCACTGACACGCTCCTCTTTTTTCATAAACACAGAGATATCAGGAAGCTCCTGTGTACTTTGAATCGTCTACTTTTTGCTCAGGTGTCTATGTATGTATTAAAGTTTCTTTCTTAATTTTTCCTTTCCAGATTTGTCTCCCAGATTTTCCCGTTTCATTTTTTATTAAATTTATATTTCTATTTTTACATGCTACGCTTTTTTTGTTCCGAAATTACGTTTTTATTGTTTTTCATGTTGTTACTTTTTGCAATGAAAATCATTTTTGTTATTGTCTTTCTTCCAGAACAGTTCTCTGGCTAACAATACACACAATAACTATTTTTTCAACATTTTGCTTTCAACTGAGCTTTTTTCTTCGAGGATTCTATGGGGCTAAATCTACAAATCACCCAAAAAAAAGTGCTAAAATCGCTTAGGCAGTCGGTCTGGGTATATTAGAGATTTTAGAGATTTTGTGGAACTTTCAATCCAGCTGTGCCAGGCCTTTCGATCTTTTGATCCTACTGTACCAGGCCTTTCGATCCAGAGCTGCAAAACTCGGCACATCGTACATAGTACTGCTAAGGTGGGTTCCATAAAATTTTGGATGAACGAATACGGTGAAATTGGTAGCGATTTAAGCGATTTCGAATCCGCTTTTGGTGATCGTCCCTTGTACAAGGCCGAAGAAACCTCTTTGGCCTCGCTTTTCAAGGAACTTTCGGAAGAGAGGTAATAATAGCCTCCTAGTAATTTCTACAGCAAAATCCCATCGTTCAGGGTTTTCACCTCCCTCGCAGGGAATGGGATTTCAGTGGATTTCACTGAAATTTTGGTTTTCCATTCAGAGCAAAAAGGGGATTCCATAAAGTTCTAGATTTGAAAGAAGATCAAGTTCGGTTCGTTTAAAAGTGAACAAGCAATTTTGATATGTGGAAAGCATCTCCGAAAAGCGTGGATTTGTTGCG